CTTTGCATAGATAGGAACCTCGTGTTCAACTTAAGACTTTAATACTACCTATTGGAAGTAACAACCCCGTCTTATACCTAAGATTAATTTTACCTCACCTTTTAAAGACTATTGCACCCCGACGACAACTTAACCTATACCCTGCCTTAGTGTATAACACTTAGAAGGTATAGAAAAGACGACCCGTTACACGCAGCTTAGTTAGAACTTATTTAATATGCCTAATATAGTTTTCTTTATACTTAGAGAAGACTAGTATATTATTAAGGTAGATAATATAGCATATATTAAGGAGTTCGGCTAGGGCTTAGTTAATATAGCTCTAGAAAACAGCTGGGGCATTAGTTAGCCTAAAAGGGACTATAGTATACTTAAAGTGGCCGTATCTAGTCCAGAACGCTGTTTTCTACTTATTTCTAGACTTAATGCGGATCCTATAGTAGGCATCTTATAAGTTAAACTTAGAGAAAACTATAGCTCGCCCTAGCCGGTCTAGTAATTCTTAAATTAGTAGTAGCAGGTGTCTATTCTTAATAGTAATTATATTTAGGCCTCTGTAGTCTATACAGAGCCTAAGCCCTCTGTTTTTCTTCTTTATAAAGAGGATAGAAGCGCCCGCAGGGGAGGTAGATAACCTTATCTATCCCTAATCTAAGTTCTTCTAGATATATTCCTTTAGAATATCTATCTTAGACCCTAAAAGGTTATAAAAAGGTCTATAAGGGGGCGTTCTGCCGCTTTCTAACTTAATAGAGAGCTTATAGAAACCGTGGTCCAGAAGAATTGCTGTATCTATCTTAGAGAATATATTAGCAAAATCTTTATACTCAGGCGGAAGACTATCCGCCCTCTCTAGGTTAATCTGGACCAATTTAATATACACCGCATAAATATCTGCTATACAGTTTCTAACTAAGTTATTAAAAAAGGCAGGGGACTTAAGCTTAACTTGCTTAAATAATAACTTCCCTTTCTTACCTTTCCTCTATATAATAGTTTTAAGCAAGAAGTTAGCCTTTAGGTTCTATGCCTTAAGCCAGGGCATTTCTAGAACTATCTTATAGCCTGTAATATAGCCGACTATAAAGCTGCCCTTTCCGGTCTATTCTTAGCCGGTATAGTTCTTAACTAAGTATAGAATAGAGCAGGTACTAAAAATCTAGAGTAGCTGTTTATTTAGCACTTAGAACTTAGCTTTTAGCTCGGGTTCTATAGTAAGGCCTACCCTCCGGGTAAGCTAGGGTGTAATAAAGTTACCCTGGGATCTGCAGTCTAGTAGGGCGTTAGCCAGGACTAGTTATTGCTCTCCGCAGCAGATAGTAGTAGTAACAGTTATAATAGTGCCTAAGCTTTAGGTATAGGGTTCTATATAAGAGACGTGGCCTATAAAAAGTAGAAGAAGTTGCTTTATAGAAGACTATTTCCCGCTAGTTAAGGGTTAGTTAGGCACTTATTAGAGTAGTGTCCTATCTTCTAGCAGGTAAAGCACTTAATATATAATATATTCTTAGGTTTATTACTATCTGCCCTAGACCGCTTATTTAAGTTATTTCTAGCCCCTAAGAAAGGCGGCCGGCTTAAGGTAGAAAGGCTTACTTTACTTATTATTAGAATAGACCGGTTTGGTCTAGAACCGGTTAAAGGGAAAGTGCCTCTCCCGCGTTGGTAGGGGGTGGTGTCCTTTCTAGGTATCCGCTCCCTAACCTTATCCTTTAGGGCCCGCTAATAGAGGTTTATATTCTTTTTAACCTCTGCTAGGTTAGAGTACTTTTTAGGAACTAGGCGTATATAATTACAGAGCTTAGGGGCCAGGCTTATAAGGTACTTATAGATTATCCTAGTGTTGGTTAATTTGCTGGGCATACTATAGTTAATATCCTCCTATTATTGCTTTAGGTAGTTAAGAACCTTGCTTAGGTCTTAGTTGCCCTGCTTTATATTCTTTACTTTAAGTATAGCCTATTATTCTCTTTTCTATGCGTTTCCTATAGTATTAAGCATAAACTCTTTTATATTACTCTATAGAGGGGAGGTCGGCTTAGAACTAATATAACGGGTCTATTAGTTCTGTTAGTTGTAGCTAATATATTAGACTGCTATTTTAATAAACTCCTGGTCCTCTAGAAGTTGCTCGCGGTAGATCTTACAGTTATAGACCTAGTTGCTCTATTTCTATTAGTTCTTGCCTGTAAAGGTGGTTAAAGGCTTTACTTTAGGTAGAGAAGGTAAGTTTAACTATCTCTGCAGGAAAGGGCCTAGGATAGGAGTTGTTGCCCTAGGGGTAGGGTTTTCTAGCTCCTCTTAGTAGAGCTAGGCCAGGATCTTTCTTTAGGTAAGAACTTGCCGTCTTATCTATTCTAGTTGGATCTTTATAGCGTTGTCGGCCACTTCTTACTATAGCTATTTAACTGTTAGGTCTAGGATAGGTTCGCTTAGGTAGCCTTTAGTCCCGTTCTTAGTAGGTAAGAAAGGTAGGCTAGGTGCTTTGCTTTTATAGTTGTCTTGTCCCCCTTTAGGGGGGGTTCTAATTGGTTTAGTTCCTTCTTAGCTGGCCGGGTTGCTTCCTAGGTTTTCCGGTTAATAAAACGCGAGGCGTGCTAATTATCGGTTAGTATTAACTATAATAAATAGTTCCTAGGTACTAATTTAGGGTAGGGGCTTATATATTAAAAAGTACTAGGTAAACAGTAGAAAGGAATAATAATTGTAGTTAATCTAACTAGTAGTTTATTCACGAGCTGCTATCTAAAAGGTAGAGGGGGAAGGTCCCCCTTTATGGCCTTTCCTGGGCGGACACCGGAGGTTACTCCGCTCGGAGTCCTTCCGTAGCGCTATTGGTGTCGCCCAGGTTCTCTTAGTCTGGAATTGTTTGGAATAAGCCGGATTAATTTGAAAGCGTGAACCTATAACCTTTCTCACGCGATATATTAGAGATTACTCTGTTTAGAGTCCTTCTATAGTATAGACGGTGGCATCTAGGCCTTATCGGCCCAGAACCGCCCGGACTAACTAGAACTACCTGGGAAGCGTAATAATAGACTCCTGTTGGCCTAGATAATACATCCTTTCTATTTTATATATATATACTCTCTATTTTACGCAGCCCTTTGCAGCCTATACAAGGTTAAGGAAGTAAGTTTAATTAGTAGAATAATATTTATACGGGCCGGAGCTAGACCTAATATAGAGGTGGTGATACGTAGTAAAAAGGGGGGTAATGCGTAGCAAAAAGGGGGGTGATGATTAGGCTCGTCTATTTTAATTTCTAGTTAAGAATCTTAGAATTAAAATACTTATAATTACAGCAAACTCTATAAATACTCCTTAGAAGTTATTTTAGTAGGATCGCGTTGGGTTAGTATATTTGTTAGCGTGCATAAGCGTGCGTAGTAGCGAGCCCCTCAAAATCACGTCTGAGCTCGCTGAGGTAAGAGTGGCATGGCATAACGTAGCCGGATAGCATGTGGCCCAGGATAGCATGTGGCCCACCCCACCAAACCACAACGCCAAATATTGCGAATTGCTCAACCACAACGAATTGTATTTGGTGTAGCTACCTGCTAGCTAGTTGCCTGGCGTCTAGGGCACGTACGAGCGTTGTGCTCTAATGATTCGCACAAGCTACACTTTGGTGGTGCTCGCTGCCGTCGCTCAGCTGGCCCTGCTGTTGCCCCCTCTGCTGCCCCTTCTTGGGCAGCTTGTGCGAGAGCAGCCCCTTCTGCTCCTAATAGAACACCTCCTCTACCTATATACCTGCGTTTCTTTGCCCTCTTTTTTTTTTTGGCGCTGATTCTCTTTGCGTAGCTGTTCAACTTCGCGTTCAAGCAGCACAGTCCTTGACATTGCGATTTCACATCCTTTCGCAAGTTGTCGAATTGCATCATTTGTTGGGCTTGGTAGGCTGTGCGTGCGCTGCCTAATTAACCGTTGTATTAAGGCCCTTTGCTTTTAAAGCTCCTCAATATTATAAGGTGTCTCAGCAGCCCAAGATGAAGCTTTTGATTGTGGACGGCGTTGGGGTGATGGCGTTTGATATTCAAAATGCAGCTGTGATAGCACGCGATCAGGGCTGTATGGAACTAGCCCAGTAGCTGCGAATCCTGCCCGTATGTTGTTCTGTGATAGTGCTAACTGCCTAGCCTGCTTGTATAGTGCCGTGCCCACTTCTCGCCAATAGGTCTTGTATCCCCACGCTGCGTGGCTAAGACGCCAGCTATCTCCCGTACGGTCGCGATTCTTAGCGGCATACCGCGTTGATCCATCGATAGAATCCACTGCTTGAGGACCTCTTCTTGTGCTTGTGTAAGACGGCGATTTGGTGCTGCTGAGCCACGTTTTGGCTGGATACCATTGACGCGTCGCCGTGCTGTTGTTCTGGCCACATTGTACGTGCTAGTGGCCTTTCGGAAACTTGTAATTTGGCCTTGTTTATAGGCATTGATAGATAGAAGAATTCTGCCCTCTTGATGAAGGGCCTCTTGTTGTTGTTGTGGTGGAGGCATTGAGGTTGTAGTTGTATCACGCGTCGCGTTTCCGGAGAATTTGATGGGGTGGGCCACATGCTATCCTGGGCCACATGCTATCCGGCTACGTTAGCCGAAACCGGCTTCCCCTCGAACGCAGTCGCAACGAAGTTTGCGCCATACTATAAGCAGGGATCACATAGCCCTGCCTAGCAGATTAGCATAGCGTCGACCTGTCAGCACACGTGCGATAAGCTGCCAATACGAAGCTTTGGTACGGTGACGAGCAGAATCGGTTTCCGGTTTACTCCATAGATTTGTTCTCGGCGCACGGGCTCCTAGGCATACGCTTAACCCAAATCGTCCTTGAGATCGACAGGGATTTAAATTTGAATCCGAAATATTTCCAAAGTCACCCGCCTCTCCAAAGATTATCGATTTCAAAGCGAAGGAGGATTCCAGCCTATCTGTATGGATTATATAAGAAAACAGAGGAATAAAGGAGGTGGGTGGGGCGGAGGTTGAAATTTATTTAGACTTGAAGGACAGGAGCAGCTTGACCACAGCCTCGTGCCCCTTACGAGCCGCCCACGACAGCGGCGTCTGACCGTCAGAGTCCTTTGAGTCGATGTCCGCCTTGCCTTCGAGCAGCAGCTTGACCACAGCACTCAGGTTGAAAATTGATGTGAACTCTGTCTTATTTCGGGGGCCCGAAGGCCAAACTATATACTACGTAGGAAGTGACTGTATGCATAGGCAGAAGCACTAATTGGAGGCAGCAGTAGGCAGCATTAGGCAGGGTAGGCCACCGTACCCCAACCCCTCTCTGTAGAAGTTGTAACTGGCTAGGCATGTAGGCAGCTACTATGCCAGCAACTCCAAGTCTGTACGTAGGTGACCGTGAACCGTATGAGTTGTTGATCCTAGGTTGTAGCTGTTACAACCCGAGTACAGCCTCGTGCCCCTTCTGGGCTGCCCACAACAGCGGCGTCTGACCGTAGGAGTCCTTTGAGTCGACGTCCGCCTTGCCTTCGAGCAGCAGCTTGACCACAGCCTCGTGCCCCTTCAGGGCTGCCCACGACAGCGGCGTCTGACCGTCGGAGTCCTTTGAGTCGACGTCAGCGCCCTTCTCAAGCAGCAGCTTTACAACCCCCTCGTGCCCGTTCCCTGCAGCCCACGACAGCGGAGTCCGATCGTCACTATCCTTCGCGTCAACGTCAGCTTTGCCCATGACGAGCAGCAGCCTTATAACGCCTTCTTCGCCGTCCTTGGCAGCTAGCTGTAACGATCTGCAGCTTGAATCTTTATCCGATTTGATGTCTGATTCTTCGTCAGTTTCTTCGTCCTCCGTGCGAACGTCGGCACCGCTCATATCGTGTAGCAGCTCAATCACAGCCTCGTGCCCGTTCCGAGCAGCCAATGTTCGTTCTTGAAGTTGGGATAATGAATCCATCGTGAGAAATTCGCCTGGAGGTATGTGCGTTCCTTCTTGCTCCAATACCTCCCTTTCGGGCTCGTTTTCCGTGGCATCATTTTGCAGAATTTCTAGTTCTGAATTGCTTGCAACACCTTCAAGCTGAAGCGACGCCATTTCTTCCTCGTCCTTCTCAAGTCCTATAGCGAGAGGAAGTCCGAGAAGGCCCAAAGTCTCAAGGTGGAAGCCGAGGTGTTTGTCGATATCCGGCCAGTTATCCGCCGTGTAAGGACACAAAGGGCATCCGTTGGCCGGTTTAGGAGACAGTTGTGCATGTTGATCGATTTCCTGAGATTTAAGAAGTTCTTCCTTGCGGTTAGAATGTGCGCTTGCATGTGGTCAATATACCGTTCTCTACTAGGGAAAGACTGAGCGGGGTGGTCGGAGCATGTGTACTCCATTCGGTGGTGGATTTGCTCGTGTACTAGCCATTCTTCCCAGGTATTGAGAGGCTTGTTGTCACCTGCAGGGCAGACGGGAGCAGTGCACGTATATGGTTGGAGGTCTTGTATCAAATGTGACCTGGCAGGGTTAGTCAACCTCTTAGAACTTGTCCTTAACTCACCTCCAGTGCCCCTTTCCACTGTATTTCGGAGGACACGTCACGAAACAGTACGGGCAGATAAAATCTTTCTTCCCATCAAGTTCCTTTGGAAAATCCGGCCATCCGACCTTCCTGCCGCCTGGCTCATAAACTGTGGCCGTTTGTTCCGACTTTGACGACTGCGATCGAGTCTCATCAAGTGAAAGCAGATTCCTCTCTTTTGGCATCTTCCATGTTTGAGACGGTACTTCAGAGAATGCCACTTTACGATCAGCGGTGATTTCGAGTCCTTGATTTCCAATTTCCTTTGCGGCTCGGGAATCTGCAAGTGTTTTTGATGCTTGTCGCCCGAAAATGTCTTTGGTTTCCTGCACTTCCAGTCGCACCACTCCGTTTCTTCTGCCCCATTCTCTCTGTCTCCAAAAGATAAATTGCTGTTGCCTGTAGGCAGTTCCGATTGCTATTCTCCGAATCACTGCCTTAGCATGCGGGTTTAGCTTAATCTTCGTCTCTAGGCGAGGGCTTGCGGCTTTATTCTGGGTGAGCTTCTTGTCGTGTGGACCGAGTTTTACCCTTTCGATTTCTTCCGGATAGGACTTCCCTGCTTCGTCTCTGAGAACCTGACGGACAATCTCTTTGATGCGGCGGTAATGGAAGCGCTCGGTCTGTTCCCTTGCTCTTTTTCGGAGCTCTGTCCTCTCTTCTCTGTCTAAAACCAGGTCGTTGCCGTCAGAGCCTAAATACAAATCTCGATAGAAATTCCGGGCAGTTGGTGGATTCCGAGCTGTTGTGCTTCGTAATTTGGCTGCCAAATGATAATGGCGATCAATAATGTCGACAACATCGTCAAATTCGGCTCTGGCGGCTTCGAAATTGCTGTATTCTGGCGCATCGGTTCCTTCTGACTGGGCTGATTGCGTCTCCACGTCGTGATCCTCTTCCAAATCCTCATCTTCTGGATCGCTTGCGTCTTGCTCCCCTTCCATGTCAGAGACGGCTCCTCCAATATGATAGACTTCAAGGTCAATTTTCTCTTCGTCTTGATGTTCATCCTTTCTCGCGACTGCGTCTTCCTTCAAGAGCTCACAAACTAGCATCAAATTAGTGCACGGTGATTGAGCCACTTCGTTTAGCTTTACCCCTCAAGAGATCTTCTTCTAGCTCGTCGAGAAGCTTTCTGGTGTATTCCTTTACTGTGGGATTGTCTCGCATTCGATAATCGAAAGACCGATCACCGACAACAAAAAGACCCAAATTTGCAGCCCATAACTGGAACCTCTCCCTTTCGGACAGTACATCTACTGGTAAAAGTGCGAGCTTCCCGTCTGATTCGGCCTTGTTCGACGGCTTGAGATATTCAAGAGCATAGCTGGCATTAGCGAACCGATCAAGGATAGTCTTTCCAGTATCACGCAGCCCGGTATTGGTCATTTTGCATCCGTTCTCAAGTCGACGACTTCGCTGATTAGGTCGTGGTTGACAAGACAGGAACTCAAATATGAGTCGCGCTTGTCGTGGCTGTGACTCAGCTGGTTCTTCTCACCGGTGCGGGGTAGCATAAATGCCAGCCAATAGGAAACTTGTTTATACGCCGTCAGCTGAAAACACCCTACGATTTCTCCAGCCCAAACCTCATACACCTTTTCGCCGTCCCGCCTCAAAGGCTCTTGTCTCCCGTCTCCATCTGTGCCACACCGCCCAAAAATGGTCACCGGGATAGAGACTGCTGGCCTGATTCTCGGATCGATACCTCTTATCATCGAAGGCCTCAAAACCTATCAGAAAGGAATCAAATCCGTAAAGAGATCGGCCAAATACGACGTGTCACTCAAAAGATTGATGCGACGGATCGAAGGACAGAAACTGTTCTTCGAATACAATCTTTAGAAGCTCTTATCTGGTGCATACTCAGAATCGGAGGATTACATTGAACTTGGGGACGACTTCTGGACTGGATTCTCGACAGGAATGACTAATCAGGCTGTGAAGGATTACCTCGGCGAAAGGAAGCAGCAATATTTCCACGACCTTCTTGACGAATTTGAGCGCTATTTTGCCAAACTGGGGAATGCTTTGAATCATGTTGAAAGAGCTGGCAAGGTAAGTTCTAAGACTTCCCACAAATGGTTCTGTGATCTGACCTTTGTAAACCAATTCGCCGTAGTTGGAGTTTTACTTACAGAAGCCCACAGAACAACCCTCAGAGGAATCATTTGACTCTATCAGACCTACATTCTCTTGCGAAATTACGCGACACCCCCGGCAAACATGTCTCGAAGCGAGTGTGGTATCTCATCAAGGAGCAAGACATCACAGAACTAATAGAAGAACTCGATGCGATAAATGTAGATATGGATCGGCTATTGGCACATGCTAGTATTCTAGCTCAACACAAAAACATTCAGGAATCCAGGATCATTTCCGACGAGCGGCATGCAAAGGCGTTGGCTTCATTACTAAACCAAATCCGAAATTACGCAGACAGACTCTTCAATGCCTTACTTTCGGCATGGATTCCAGGTTGCCATGCATCACACAACGTTGCATTGTTTCTTGACAAGCCAACAGTCCCAAAATCGGGCCATCCAAGCTCAGAATCATCATTCAAGTTTCGAGTGATAATCTGCGGCAAACCTGTAGATACCACAATGTCTCCATCATAGCACGAGACAAATATAATTGTTTTCGAGGAGGATGGCGTTGCTGTGACTCATGGAATGTAAGATACTTTGCCACCTCATTTTCTCGCGGCGGATCCTCACCATTCTAGCAGATGTTCACCGGCTCAACCAGTAACAACCCAAACTCCAGTTACTCCTGCGATAACAGTCACGCTGTTGAATCAAGCATCAACTTCTGTTGTGTTGGGCAGAGTCACGAACCTTTGCGATGCCGCAATCAGCGCAAAACAGACACTGAAGCGCCTAGGCCTGATTCTACGTAATGGTACATCTCTCATGAGCGACAACAGGAGTAATGAGCATTGTGAATCTGCACTTTGGAGCACAATCAACTTGGAGAGTTTCCTTTCTACCAACAGAATGGGCCCCGCGCAAAAGGTTAAACTGGCGTTAAAGCTTGCCATCTCCCTGCTTCAATTCAAGAGCTCTCAATGGTTTCAGTCGTCGATATCAGCCCAGGTCATTCACTTCCGAAAAGCAGTTCAAGCCGGGAGGGCACACTGCATAGAAGTAGATCAACCACTGGTTCTGCAGTCGTTTTGCGATCGGACTCTAGAGAGGTCGGCGGGACACAAGCCAAGGCAAATGCTCTTGGAACTCGGAATCTTATTCATGGAAATATGGAACGGGGAGACGATGGCGGCGTTTGCCAAACGACATTACAAGATTGATGATGTTCCACCATTGATGCGTCAAGGGATCGCCACGGAATGGTACGAAGAAACATGGGAGCAAATGACCAACAATTATGGCGGGGTAGTCAACACATGTATGGCTTTTGCACTCGACTACAACCGAGGAATGCAAACTTGGGAGGATGAAGATTTGAGAAAGTCGGTTTGTGCAAAGATCATTAGCTGGTTGAATGAGGATTGTCTGGCTTTCCCTTAACACTAGGGACATGCCCCTGTTTGTTACTTCAGGTCTGTATGGCGTAAGATCTTTGGTAGAATGCAAGTGCACACTAATCCCTCCCATTAGATGAACACACGAGTTTGAGTCTGAGAACTAATGTGGCAAGTTTCCGCTCCATAACTGCGTTTACTAGGCTGGTTTACTTGTAATGCTCTTATTTAGCTCCTAGTACCCTCGGCGCTCCGTCACTTTCCCTTTGAGGCTTTTCTAGAGCCTTTGTCAAGCGGCCAAAAGGGAGCGAATAAGCAGATTATTGTTAATCGAGGACACTTGCTTTTAGGTGAGACCGCACGGCCGATCGGGACTTGGGCAACCCGCAGGGGATGGGCACGAGACATTCTTTGATAGTGCAATTTCCTGAGATATTCGTCTTCTCTCAGCTAGATGCTCATCCCTTGTATCGGTTTCATGGATGCGGAGGGCCTCGAACTTCTCGTCGAGGTTCTGGATGTATTTCTGGGAGATTAGTGGTCGTATTTTCAAGCATTTCTTTGAACTATTAGATGGGACTCGCAGCCGTGCGTCTATAGGTCGAACTAATAACTTGACAGATATGCCAGGGGTAGGAGCAGTTACATACAGATTAACTTCACCAATAGCAATGGTAATAGTAAATTGCTACCTAGCGGGTAGACTCTTGAAGCCAGCAAGGTTATTGCAGCTTTGCCCAGTCCCGCAAGCTTGTTTCTGATGCGCTGGAGTGTTTGGTGCAGTTCGCAATCACCCCCTCGAAGTCCGGGCAGGCCTTACCGTAGCGGCATAGTGGAAGCTCGCTCGTTCATTAAGAATATTAACTTAGTCCTACCTATTGGGGTTAGCAAGCATACAGGAAGATGGGACGCTAGGCTATACCGAAGAATCACATTTAAGGGAGAGACAATACAGAAGTACTGTGAACTAATTCCGCTATGACTTGGCATATCTTTGAGGGCGGGGTGCGGCTAGTTGCACAGCCCACAGTGTGGCGCGGTAAGTCTGATGAAGGCGAATTCGCATGCGACTAGGCTGAATATGCTTATATTTTAGGCCAGTGCTACCTGGCCGACCCCTTTTTGCTATTCGGCCGACGCCTTTTTGCTATTTGGCCGACCCTCCCCCTGCAGTCCCTTCACCGCGTTCTAATTAGCTCACTTATCGGGTCGACTCCTCCGGGCATTCACTCTCACGTGTATTTGCACGTGCAGCTCTTAGTAGAGGTAGGCGCGGAGGTGGACCAGCAGGCATATAGCGAGAGCCTACAACGACACCTATACAGCTAATTATAGAGGGCTCAGGTCAATAGGAGGCTACTAAACTCGGGTTGCAGCACTACAACCTAGGATCAGCAACTCATATGCCAGTAACGTATCAGGATGGCATGCTGATACAGGAGGAAGTAACAGGTAGTGCAATAGCAGTGCTGCAGCACGGTATCAGTACTGTATCAAGTAACAGGATGACTCAGGGTTTCCGGCCTACGTGCCTAGCCAATTACAACTTCTACAGAGAGGGGTTGGGGTACGGTGGCCTACCCTGCCTACCGCTGCCTACTGCTGCCTCTAATTAGTACTTATGCCTACGCTCCTTATATAGTATATAGTCTGCTCGTACGGCTTCACAAATCAAACAGAGTTCACGTCAATTTGCAACCTAAGTGGATGTAACCAGTAACGCATCAAGAGATCTACCACGTTAAGCCCCCGGGGGTGGCCCCTCCTTCCCCTAGTATATAAACAACGAGCTAGACATCTATAGAAATCAGAGTTCACATCAATTTCAACCTGAGTGTAGAACGATTGGAGTCGCTGTGACTGAAGGCAGACGTGCATCCTCAGCCTTGCCGGGCGTAACTAGCTCTATATATTACTATGCCGGTCCTCTCCACCCTACGGTGCACGCGTCCCCGAGGGTTTTAAAGTGGCTGAGGATCTTTTAAGCCTAAGCGGGCGGTATCACATCCGACAGGCTGCAGTACGGGATTGGGGCATTGGACTAAACGAGATGAGATGAGATGAGATGAGATGAGATCGATTGTAACCCCGCAAAGAGCATTTTCCAGTATGTGCTTGCTGCAGGTATGGCTTAGCTCACCGTCACCGTAGGCTTCTTTCCACCGTGCCGCAGCGATAACGCTAGCCAAAAACATGTTCTCGTGCGAAGTTGCAGCGCTAGCCAAATCGGTGTTCCAAAAGGTGCGACCTCGAGTCCAAGCTTAAAGCCTGGAAAGTGGAGGTAACGCTAGCCAAAAACAGGTTCTAAAAGGTGTGTCCTGCAGATTCGCGGCCCGCTCCAAAATTCGTGGCTACCCACTTGCATGATCAATCCTTGTTCGTCTGCCGAAGGGTTCCTATATCGTAATGTCCTACCAAAGCGGCTGCTGGGCCACGTAGCGGGCTGAAGACCCGAGCCCCCGTCCTATTCGTAGGGTCAACGGCACAGCGCATGTACATGCAATAAAATGGGGGCTATAGTCATTACAGGTCATCCGACCATCGCCACAAGAGCGCCCATTCTTAGGGGGATGCGACCCTTCTTTCATTGGCAGAACAAGATTAACAAAAACAGCGGAGACGAGCCACTAAATTTCATAGGCAATGCAAATACGCTTCGTGCCCCGGCAAGTAACCTATGCCAGCTGAAGAGGTGCGGTATAAATCTAACACTAGAAAGTGCAACAGTATAGCTTAGAATCGCTTTAGATATAAAGAAACTCCAACCCGCGTTTTGTGCTGTTCTCAATACCTTTAAGATGTGTGATTATACCCAAGTCCATTACAAGTGCTCCCACCTCCGCTACACGGTTCGAGCGTGGTGCACAAAGTATCAGGAAACGCACAAACGATGTCCAGCCAATATTGTTGCAATGTAAGAGTACCTCGACTATACTCCAGCAATTTCACTTCTAACTAATATACAGAGAATACCGGCTTGACGAGAACTGCGGTGCGTTAATATAGAATATGCGAATTTGTAGGCTAATCTCATCTAGGAGACTGCAAAGATAATCCTCCAAATCACAACCACCTCATTCTTTCTGACAGGGAGGAGCCCGGACGTGATGGACGTCACCGTGACTGGCATGAACGCCCTTGATCTACATACACCCGCGAGGTGGAGATTGGCCATCGTCAGAACGAGCCGAAGGCGGGATGGCGGTTTATGAAACTAATTTCGGTTGACCTGCGTGTAATTTGGGCCCATTGATTGACCAGCATATTAAAGAACATTTGCTTTCCCTCAATATACAGCTCGGCCATCCTTTCCGCTTCCATGCTCAATTATTCCAGAGTGCAACAGAGACTGGTTCTTTCTCGTGCACTACAGGACCCCTGAACCCCTGAGCATGCTGCATCAATTCGTCGTACACTCTTCGAAGACTACACTCATCGAAACCGATCTCCGCAGGATGCCTCGAACGACGAAGCCCACGCAAAGCCGCCTGCGCAACCGTCACCTAATATCTGCACGGAAACCACCATCACCTTCGAGATTGCCAAAGACAAACCCAACAACACCTCGAACCAGAGATCGAACCCGCCATACGAGGAAGCCCAATCCACACCGCCTGCTAGCACCTGAACCAAGTCCACCGAAGTCATTGCCTACCTCTATTGAAACCATCGAAACCTACTACGGACTTGTTCGCAGATGGGGGGACACCAATCTATCCTCGACAGACTTAATGCAGCCTTTACAAGACCCCAACCTACTTTTCGACCCTCCTCCGAAGGACAGTTACCCAGTCAATTGTCCCACTATTCTACCAAAATCCTCGTTTGACTCAACCATACTCGATGTGGACCTAGCCATATTTGACATGGATCCAAACAACTCGATGGCGCATATTAACCCAACCGTACTCGACATGGATCCAAACAACTTGATGGCGCACATTAGCCCAACTATATTTGATATGGATCCAAACAACTAGTTAGCGCATATTAACCCAACTATACTCAATATGGATCTAAACAACTCGATGGCGAATATTAACCCAGCTATAGTCGATGTGGACACTCAAATAATTTGGTGGGACAAGTTAATTCAGCTATACTTAATATGGGTCTAAACAACTTAATAGCGCAAACTAACTTAGCTGTACTCGACGTGGACCTACTTAGCAAGAAATCTTTTAATTGCGACCAATGCTCTAAGAGCTTTACAACTCCCAGTAACCTCAAAAGGCACAAACGGATCCATAATGGCAAGAAATCTTACAAGTGCCAGATGTGCCCCAAGAGCTTCGCACGTTCCTGTCATCTCAAAATACACAAACGGATCCACACTGGCGAGAAACCTTGCAAGTGCTAGATGTGCCCCAAGAGCTTCGCAGATCCCTCTGCTCTCAGAAAGCACGAACGGGCCCACACTGGCGAGGAAGAGCTGAACGGAGCCGATCCAGAAGATAGCCAAGGCAGACTAGACTGCCGGATGTGCGGCAAGAGCGTCGCGGATCACTCTACTCTCAGATTTCACAAACGGACCCATACTGGCGAGAAACCTCACAAGTGCCAGAAGTGCTCCAAGAGCTTCGCGCATCCCTCTACTCTCAGTAGGCACAAACTGACCCACAGTGGCAAGAAACCTTACAAGTGCCAGGTGTGCCCCAAGAGCTTCGCGGATCCCTATGATCTCAGAAGGCACAAACAGTCCCAAAGAGGTTATTAAGTCAAATAGAGGTGTTTAAGATGTTCCACACATTACACGGCGGAAGGCTTTGTCCGAGTAAGTTCATCGCACGAACTTGTAGATTCAGGAGGCCACGCGAGTCTATGCTGGCGGCGATGATGTGCTCCGTGATGTCCAAATCGCCCACTGCCCCCAAAACAACGCCGTCATCATTTGCCCGCATGACACCAATAATTATTCCCGGACTTGGCGAGAGGTTCAGCAGATTTGACGTTCTCTCCTCTTTCGCCAGCCCCGTACATGGAAGCGGGCGGAGCTCCAGCCCCCGCGGCTTCCAGTGTCCTCGGGAGGAGGGGCGGATGGATGGGCTCATCGGGAGCGGCGTTGGTGCGATCCATGTTCCCTTGGCCACGGATGATGTTGGGGGACGGGCTCATCTGGGGGGACCGAAGCGTGCACTCCTCCATCATTGCGCAAGCTGGATCTCTGCACCGAGATGCTAGTGACTGAGGTATCAGTAGACGAGCCGTATGGGCGGCGGTCTGCGACGAACTTAACCTCCGACTCAGTCGTCTAATAATCGGATGACAAAACGATCGGCGCTTCTCGGGTGTGGCCGCGCCTTGAGGGCGGTTGAGCAGCCCCCATGTAAGCTTGCCGGACCTGTTGACGCCGGACGCGGTCGAGATGGGCGGCGAACGAAAGTATGGGCTAGAGTCGCTCATTGGGGGGCTAGCTAGGTCCTATTGTGAATTCTAACCGTCTCGTCCGTAGCGGGCGATGGTTTCCCAGCGCTCTATATCAACGCCATGCCGGTTGCGCATATAGAGCCAATCTAAAAGGTTTATCCAAATCTAGAAGCTAAGGCGTGAAGGCGGTTTCCAGATCTTATGGCGTTGCTCGTAGCTGTCTAGATGCAGAATATCTCTAAGCTTTTTAATTCGATCCAACAAGAATAATTCGTCGTAAGTCAGGTAGGGGTCGAGCCCCAAAGCGTTAAAGAAGTCGAGCGTTTCGAGCAAATCGTCATAGCCCTCGTCTCCCCGCGGACCCCACTCACGGCGTTCACCGATGCCGACCATATCGAGCAGGTAGAGTAGTAGATGTAGAGGTGAGACATCCGACAAAGAAAGACAAGGCTCGAGCAGAAGACGAGTGAGCCGGACTAGGGGTAGTCGGCAGGTGAACGAAATGAATTCGAAATAGCGATCACAGGAAAGGGGTGCTGGATGATGAGGTAGGCTTGACAGGAGAGGGAGGAGATAGTAATCGAGCTGTAGGCGAGAAGGACGTGGCGGGGCACAAGAGGTAAACTAATACCAGCTAGCTAGGCAGAAACAGAAGCGGTGAGACCGTCCATCAACCTGATGGACTGGATTTCGTGCAACAGCGCTGCGTATCAGGGTCGCGTGGGTCTAGGGCAAATGTACGTAGGGGCAAGAAAGAAGCAATATTGTTCCTGGATAACTACTAGCGTGTCAGTGGCCTTACATCCTTCCATATCCGTAACAAGGGGGGAACAAGGGAGTACCCCCCCCCCCTCTTTTTAGGGGCTATATATACGGGCTTTACGCCTCTTCAAATCAACACAGAACTGCTTCTTCACAACCTGAGAACACCCCCATTGTATCTCGTGTTCTTCTGGGGCACCGTGGAACAAAAGGAATCAGCGGCAAGCAGGTACGCCAACTTCTACAATACGAATGTATGCTGTTGATGCCTGGCCTCTGCTAACTCCAACATCAGTGCAACATCACTGTGGATAAGGCTCTTCACATCTGGCTGCACGACTACAAGTCGACACACGGCACTGCGGTTGGCCAAAACAGACAGAACCAGAAGAAGGTGCGGAAGAGCTGGGAAGATTGCAGAGAATGCAAGCCTTGGCGCGAAGCCATTCGCGGCACCAGCCGAGGTTTATCCGTAAGCTTAGTAGATCGCGTCCTGCATAACAACAGTTTCTCTCCCATCGGCTGGCCGCCATAGCCTCTTCTTCCTCTTTCTCCTCTTTCTGCTCGCACTCCCTCGATCGTATCCAAGACTGGCTGCGCGCCTCTCCTAACCCGGCACACTACATCGCCGTTCCGCACGACTCCCCCAAAATGGCTAGTAACCACACGACTGCTGAAGCGACCCGCGACGCCTCGCCATGCGATAATTCCCTACGCAGCTCCAGCTCAAGCAAAAGATGGCGCAAAGAGGATGATTTCCTTGCGGGACAAAGTGTGTTGCACACTTATAGTGTTGTCTTGACCGCCACCGCCAGCGCAAAGCGAACTTCCAGCTAGATACGGACCACTCACCTGTATCCATAGGGCCTATTGATGAAGAGGCCTTCAACCATAGAGATATGCACTGACCGACTTCATGCTCATCAACACCCTACAGCAAGCGAAGAGGATGTCCCAGGGCTGTGGTGTTGCGGTGCTAATTCTTTGATTGGTGATAGCATTTCAAGCCTACGTTTCCTCGCCCTAACATGTTCACAACAAAATTCGAATTTCTATTGAGACAGGACAATAGTCCCACGAAGCCACCCTACTTCACAACGGAGATCTGGTCAAAGGCTACTTCCCCTCCTTCCGATGATACTCTCGGGCCTCCCTAATTGCAGAACCGATGCTTCAACAGAAGCTCACAGAGATACAGACAGCGATCGATCCTGGACATGGACCGGCACTTGTCGTCCGACCCGTCCGTTTTGGGCACCAACAGTGGGCCGCCCAACTCACCGCGCCTCTACTGCGCGGAGTGTAATCGCGAGTACGAGGCACTCGAGACGCTGAACCGGCACCGCAAGAACCACTCCACCAGCAGTAATAATCACGTGTGCGACATCTGCTAGGTCGGCTTTACGCGCAAGGACCTGCTGATCTACCATGTACGGATCCATAAGGGGGCCTCGTTGCGCGGGGCCTCGAAGCAGTGGGGCAGGGTCAACTCCACTGCGTGCGGTGCGCGCAATAAGCTTAAGTGCAACCACATAGTCCCTTGCAATAGATGCGCGCACGGCTAGCACCACTGCCAGTACCGCGATCGCGATCGCGATCGCGCGCTATCGGATGCCGCGACTAGATTGTGCCCTGGCCGCTCCATTTCATCTCCTAAGAGCTCGTTTAGCATGCCCAATAATGCCTTCCCGCACCGAAATGCTACCACTCCCAGCTATACCCACCCGCCAGACGGGCCCACCAGATAGACCGGACGCCTCACTGGCCTGGTCGTCTGCGTGGAGTGGCGACCTCTGGTGCCAGAACACCGACCCATGCTGGGACGATCACTCTCCCAGCTGCTCTCGCCAGAGACAACAATCACCCTACCAGGTTCTGGAACAGCCACAACATGGCAGTCATCCATGGGGAGAACGCCCCAAAATGCGGCAATGGCCTACACCGTAGGTTTCGTGGCGCAGCCATACTTTCCTACCACTTTAACATACGATTTCCACTACCTTACACCAGAGCATGGTCCAGGATAGCAGGTTAGCAACATTAAATTCGTCTATTATTGCTCCGCTTACCTAGTCCTTCAAACCTGACGAAAGCTATTTCGATAATCTAGCCAGATGTTCCCCTGTGCTATATTCAAACTGGACCAGGAGCGTTATTGTAATACAGCATTCTCTAAGGATTTCCCACAGATGTTTTATAGATGTTCACACCTGCCTGAAAATCACGCACTATATAGTGCGTGGGCAGCAAAAGCGGGTTCGGTTCTAGTATAATAAGATCTGCTAAGTTCGAAAAAGTTTATATTTACTTCCAAGATAAAAAGGATGCGCTTTCATTGCCGATCCCCTTCGCTTCCTTCCGTTTCTTCGTACAGGGAGAACCTAGATAATCCTCAGCTTGACGGCGGCTCTGCTGAACGCACCAACAGAGGTACCGGACGGCTTTTAGCTGGTGCCAAGCATGGTGCTCTGATCGTTGAATTGCCTTTGAAACTTGGTTGCAACGTCGGCAGCGGCGGACCTAAGAAGGCTGCGGGCGTGCGGGGTAGAGGGCCGCTATCGGATTATTGGTGATGGAGATGGGGCGGGTGCGCTTGCGGCTGATGGTGTTGTTCTGCGTCGCTTCCGCGGCTAGGATTCTAGTCATCGTTTTGCTGAGTGCAAACTCGGAACCACTTCGGAGTCTTCTGGAATGGTACTTGTACTGAGTGCCATTGACAAAGGCTACGATCAGACTTGCTCCTTCCATAGTACGTTGTTTGATGGTGTTTTGAAGGAGGTTGCTAACGCACGCGCAGAGGACTACGAGCCTGGCACCACTAGAGCTTCGGCGAAAGCTCGAGCTGATGCTGGTCGAGCCTTACCCTAGAACGACCCTGACCTTGGCACTCAAGGAGCGTCGTCGCATCGTCCTGTTCTCTAGTTGCTCGCGGCGTCTGACCCTACTTGGAATAGCGGATTCGATCTTTATGGCTCACATGAATCCTCTCCTCAAGAAGGGTTCGGCCCATCCATCATATATGGCTCAGTGAAAAGACTGGTAGTTCACAATGAACAGCGATGATCCTTGATTGAGACGGGGGAGTTGTCCGTGTTAATTAATTGGTAGGCGGATGGCTGCGGAAGGTTAATAACTATGACGATCTACAGCTAGTTAATAACTATGACGATCTACAGCTAGTTAATAACTATGACGATCTACAGCTAGCTAACAACAGGCGGCCAACCCATTAATATAAATCGGAAGACGGCTCCCATGGTTGTGTTTCCGAAAAGCAATCAAGTACGTTCCAACGACGTCAGTAGCTCCAAAATTTGAACCCCAAGGTAAACTCACGGTACATATCACAATACTCGAGACTAATGGGCTTGATAGTAGATCATTTCGTTTTATATAAAGACGGAGAGTTGCACCATGCTTATCGAGTTGTCGAGCACCTTTTCCAGAATTTGTCGATAGCGAATGACAATGCCCGACTAGAGTCTTGGATAGGGTATTTGAATTGGATAGGGTATTTGAATTGGATAGGGTATTTGAATTGGCTCGTGCACATATACACGTGATATGACGGAGAATGCCGTGTGTATACAAAAATCGCATAGAATCAGCATTATATTACATTCAGTTCATGCGTGAGGCTGTATATCGACAGAGAATGTATATTATCAATTCCCCCTATAGTGTTGAGGTTCCACAAGTGCATAGAATACAAGAGAATGCCCCCCCCACCCGTTTTTTGTATACACACGGCATTCTCCGTCATATCACGTGTATATGTGCACGAGCCAATTCAAATACCCTATCCAATTCAAATACCCTATCCAATTCAAATACCCTATCCAAGACTCTACGCATCGTTCCAAAACAAGATAGACTATCATTTCAACAACGTAGCCCTCCTGAAGCAGGCATTCACTGCAGCAGGGGCGCCTGAATCGCGATCTGAAACCAACGGGCCGACCAAAAGCAACAAAAACCTCGCACTCGTTGGCGATGCTGTTCTTCGACTGTGTGTCCTCGATGAATGGTTTCCGACTGGGAGTAACACAGGTATGGATGCCCTGAAACGGGTCGTGTCTTTCTGACAAGACGTAGAAGTTGGAGACAATCTCGTGGCAGATGTCGGAACGAATGAACACTTAAAGAATGTAGCGAAGGAGTGGGGTTTAAAAGAATACATCAAGAAAAATCCATCCCAACAGGATCAGGAAGCAAAGACTACGCTCGCTTCTACCGTGGAAGGGATTATTGGAGCGATATGGGTCGATTCTGATCGAAATTTTGGAGCTGTCCAACATGTTTTAAAGAAACTGTTATACTAATTGACGTATGTGGCTTTGGAGGGAAGGGCGTGACGGAACATAAATGTGTTGCTAAGTCGATAAAAGTGAAGGGCTGCTCTCGAGTGTTGGTGCCCAACAGTAAGGTCATATGAAGAGAGCGGGGCTGTCGGTTTTGCCCTCAACTTCTTTTCAGCGTCCCGTGCGCAACGAGCCAACCTGTTGAGCAACGGAATAGGGAAGGCGTCCGCTATGACGCGCATTTCAGCTGTGCATTTGGTCCTAGTCCATGGGATTGGAGATACGAGGGGAGGAAAAGAGGGCAGTGATAGGTTGGTCTACAGGGGATTGTGTGGGGTGTGTGTTGTCATGACGGACGCGATAGAAGCGAAGCCCACCTCTTTCGTTCTTAAAGCTAAACGCTGCACTTTCAACCCTCTAGTAGGCATGAAAAATCCGGCAGGTATATATCGGCAATCCAACTATGTATCCGCCTGCTTCAATTGGATTCTGGCTTTGTGCACTGCCCGCAAATAGCTCCTAGTAAGGTTGCAGTTGATGCACGGAGGCCCGTGAAAAGCCTCACGAGGCCGGCCCAGCTTCCCAACGGTGACGGCCATCTTTGTTAGGTCTACCTCTCGAGCGCGGCGAAGCCGTTGTTGTTCGTGATTTGCATCGTGCGCGTTTTACAGATGCGGACGTGCTGGTGGATCTCAAATTCTAATGCGACAGCCAAGTACAAATCAATTGCGAGGCCACGCATGTCCTGTTTGACCGTGCTATTGTCTGCCTTCGGCAGGTTGGAAAGGCTAGCCCGCAACCGTGGAAATGTACTCCCAATTTCTTGGAACATCGAGATTCGTCATAGGTTTAGCGGATGGCATACGGGGAGCGATGAGACGTATGGGAAAAGTAAGCCACGAAAGGACTTCTCACTTATCATCTTCTATTATCCAGATTGAAAAAAGGATCTAACAAGTAATAATATTGCTATCAACCGCGGGTATCATGAATTCTCTTCCAGTAACGTGATATCATTCGTGTCCGCATCCGGGTCGGAATGAATCTTAGCAGCGATATCGGCCTTGCAGGACTTGCCATGGACCATCAAACCCCAGTAATGAATGTCATTAATAGTGCTGGTTAATTTCTCAACGCCAGCAAGGATGCAGCAGTCGCCAGAGTAGATGGCGGACATGCTACAGCCAGTCCAGGTTTCAAAGGTCTTCGGCACAGTGCACCACAGGTCCCAGGTGGATCCAGTGAATGTGATACCATAGTGACGCATCTGGTTCATATCCTGTTCCAACCAGTTCCCTCCACTCATTTGAAGCGCGCAGTCCTTTAGTCTATAACGATTATACAGGGCCATGGCTGAGGCGACGGCGACCTGATGGCGGGCCGTCGCAAGAGTCTCCTCATCTCTTTTGAACTCAATAGTCAAATACGGGCAAAAGGCTCGCTTCTGCACAATGGAAACATGTTTTCGAACGCTTGGGCGGAAGCCAGATTGGAAGGCCTGGAGGGAGACGTGGTACGCGCAGTCCGGGCGAATGTCCCACTCGTATCGTTTCCTGGGCGAGTCGACGAGTGGAGGGGAGAGCCATTCATCCTGCGGTAGTTTCCGAACAAGTTGGAGCATGCGGACGGGTAGCCAACGTTGATCGCCGTCCTCTTCTGGGAGCCATGGATGTCTGGGTTCGTCGAGGAATATATCCTGCAAGGCGTATGCCGAGTGTTCGGCCTCGTTGGAATCAAACACCCTCATAGCCTTGTACTCTCGCTGGATGCTCGCCGTGTCAGGGGCTAGCCAGACTTCAAGGTCGTGTGCTCCCCGGTAGGCATCGAGGCGGTCCTTGGGATCGGAGGGAAGCTCTAGGATACCGAAGTGTTTAAGGAGGTCCTTGTTAACGCCCTTGTTCTGAATGGTGATCCCGCATGGCTCTAGTACAGTCTCTATAAAGTCAACATCGGTGACTTTAGCAGCCAAGTCCTTCTTAGACTTGAAGCTCGAGGTTTCCGATGTAGGTGGTGTTGGCCATTTCCCAGAGTGCGACCCTGACGCCGATGTGCTTTCTGCTCGAGCCCTTGGCCTCCTCTTCGCCTTTGTGCTTAGTGTATCGCCCATTTCTCTGCCCGCCCTCTCATTTGAGCTCTTTTTCTTGTCCATTATCGTCCTCCACAGAAACTTAGTGTATGTTGGGTCGGTCTGGGTGATGTCGGAACGGTGCGCTGGCCAAGCGTCAGCGAGAGGGCAACAAAAAAGCGATTGCGACGACGCCGGGGGACCAGACGATGACGACGGCAATCGTGATGATTTCACAGCGCGTCTGCGGACGGAGGAATTGGCGGTCGGGCGCATGTAATGAGGGCCGACATTGGGCTTGCCGACGCATGTCGGCGGCTGCCTTGTGTGGGGTTCCCGGAGCTTCTGCTTCGAACAACTGGTGGTTTTGCTCGAGTGGGTACAAGTCTCAGCACTCGCGCATCGAGCGCCGTTGCAAGGAGAATCTGAGGACGTCATTCTGGTTGCGCTCGAGGATTGGTGTCGTTGGAATCGAGATAAGCCGGCGTGGGACGGCAGCTGGAAGCACAGGTGCTGGAAATTGTACTGCAGCCTTGCACGCAGCACGTCGGTTGCGATTGTCGTAGAGGCCGAAGAAAGGTGAAGAAAGAGGGAGCACGGTGTGTGTCGGGCTTTGTCATGCGCTGTCGATGTGTCAGGAAGATGAAACAGGTGCTTTCGTAGTGCAAAGGATTTGTTTTGACGGCGTTGCCCCGTTAACAAAACAATTTCGGCGTCACATGAGAAGCGCGTCACTGCCACCAAGGGCCATAGATTCTCCACCCTCATTAATTGAGAATGCCTTCTTTTATGATTTCAGGGCGAAGGAAGTCTACGTGATAGCTGTGTACTGCTCTTTTTCCGTCGTATCTCTAATGTATGCTTCCTAGGTATCACGTGTCGCTTAGTCGGCGCGAGCTTCGTGATTGCGCTAACTAAATCAGACTTTTCCTCCCACTTCCAACCCAAATGTTAGCTAAGCCACCAGCTCCGCATAACTAGTGCTCGCGGTCCCTGTCCCTTCCCGTTTATTCACAGCGTTGTTTCTTCCGAAACTAAGATCGAAGGTTGAGGCCGTGCTGGCATGGAGACTGGGCCCGTCCCCAATGCCTACACGCTCCAGCTCTCCGATGAAATCACAGGTGGAGATAGATGAACGATCTGAGCTTGCGCTCGAGTTGCCAAATCACCCTCTCCCATGAAGCAACACATGATGAATCAATCTTAACAGCTCTCGTCATCAGTCCATGCGACCTCCAAAGCGGTCATGCTCAGATCCTCCTACCAAAGGCCCTAGCTTGCGGCGAAACCGAGTACATCGTCGGTTAGTCATGGGACGTGTTAGGAAGAGTATATGCGATGAGACCTCGCTGGTAGCCATGATTACTGGATCGTAGGGGGGATAAAAGGTCAGTTTAGGTAGACCGGCTTCTAACTCTAGCTAATTGTCTCAAGACATGAATCGTTGCTAGAAAGAAACGTCCTCCATCGCGATATATCGGTCGGAGACATTATACTCGAGAAGGGCGAAGACAACAGTACCTCAACCTTGGCATTAAAATCGACAGCAAAGAGGCATCGGGCGCGCCGAGTGAGACCGGCTTCATAGCGATTGGTGCAATTCACGTCGAACACCACAATTTCATGCACTATCTGGAGTCGCTCTTCTAGGTGGTCTTCTGGCTTTGCGTATACTGGAAGGGGGCTGACCAAAAGAGGAGCAGAACGAAATATGAGTCTTGGAATTACAAGCCTACAAAGGAAACTGCGCAGATTAAGAATCTAAACTGACCCCATTGCAGGCACTACCGTGCTTTCTGCAACATGCGGAGTCTCCTCCCTAGCATTAAGGAGAGCTAGTGGTAGGTACATGGAGTTGATTCTCAGTATTTCAGCCAGGAGGACGTCGTGGTCTTTCCTGCCTGTATCAGGTAATTGATTGAGTAAACTGCGGACCAGTGATGGAACTGGACTGGGTTAACTTGGAGCCGGGTTACTGGGTTACTCTGTATATAGGTCTGGGTTGGAGGCTCTGCTTGCCTGGCGTGGAGTGGATTTGAGGCTGTGGAGCCTCCAGGCGCTCCATAGCTTTTCTCTCTCAGCGTAGAAGTCGTGGTGTTAAGGTGAGCCGAGGCCTCTGATTGGCTGACCTATATACTCCGAGGCCTCCGAGGCCCTGCAAGGGGCGTTGTACGGGAGCCTGTCTTAAAATTGTTAGCGCAGCCATACAAAATTAGACCTGTTCCCCTGTGAAATTTCTTGCCCGCTCGATGCCCGTTTTTGAAGCTATTTGCACGCCAGCTCAACACCATATTGCTATAGCCAATACCGCGCCCGTTGACGAGGCCGTACGCCCTTAGCGCTCTATTACCAGCTTCCTTAGTATACGCTATACAGCCCTAGTTACTAACAAGATTATCCTAGCACCTTCTTTAATTAATATAGCCCGTAAGGAAGCCAACAAGGTAACGCAGTTTTGAATTGCTGGAAAAACCTATATCTGTTGTAAACACCTTATATAAGCGCCTTGCCACACTAAGCAGCGCACATTGCATATATAGAAATAGGGAGAGGATATATAATAGAAGGACGGGATAATTAGACAACTGGATATTTATTACTGCTATCTTTATAAGCGTGCAAAGCAAAACCAGGATTTACCTGTAGTTTTAACTAGTAGAGGAACTGCTGCAAATTATCTTATAAAAATGCATAAAATAAATAGAGAGTCGGGCAAGCTATATACTGCTATATAAGGCCCTTTTCTGCAGTTTAAATGTAATAGGGCGCTTTATATAGCTATAAACTTTAAGGCCTTAAAGCGCTTATTTATTTAATAGATTATATACTCCTATATTACCTTCTTCTAGTTTAAGAACTTATATTTCCTGTAAGGGCCGTAGGCCTGAAACAATAGATTGTATTAGGTACAAGAAGAATTCATTAAAGATCTAAACTACGAACACACGCTGCCTATATACCTCATCGTCGAGAGAGTAATGCAACCGTCCCATCCTCCTCCGTACGGTATCGCCGTGCTGCATCATCGTGCTTATGTTGTAATGCCGTGCTGCATCGTCGTGCCGCAATGTAAAGGAAACTCCGTAGGAGGCTACGTGAAACGGAACAGATGCGTAGCTAATTAAGCAGCCGTTCGAGCAGCTAGGTCGTGAGAACACGTGTTAGTGTACGGTTTGATGAATCGGACAGGGCGGGGCAGCCTAGCCAATTCCTAGAAATAGAGGTTCAATCTTAGAATAGGTCCTGGTGACGGCTTGTAAAACAGGACGGGTACGTGGAACGGAACAGATAGAATAAGGCGTTACAAATTAGATAGGGTGGAACGGCCTGGCCAGTTTTAGTATAGAATTCAAGTTCCTAGAATAGAACTAATTCTATGCTAAGTTCGTGAAACCGGCAGGCTGCACGAGTTGGGTAGGCTATACGCATCGGCACTGCGTTGGTTCAAATTAACGTGAGGAACAAGCCGAGCCTTATAAGGTAGTTAATAAGAAGAGGAATATATACAGGGCGTAGCCCGTGACAATACCCCCCTCCTCCCGGTAAATTTTTTTTTTTGGATAAGAATCGGACGGCTATAGGCCGACGTTTATACTTGTATTTCTTAATAGAAGTTTTTAGGTAATAATCTATCTAGTAATCGAGCGTCTTTTATAAACTCTTCCTAATAATTAAGAGCCTCCGTGTCCTCTATATTAACTGCATCCGTATTATAAGGCAAGGCAAACCCCTTCTACTTAACTTTGTATATTTTGGACTTGCCCCTTTCTTTCTTCTAATAGTATTCTTAGACAATATCCTTAATTTTGTACTCTATTTCGCCTTTAATCTTAATAGGAAGAGGTTGTAAATTATCTATTTCTTAGCTAGGAAAGGGATCTTAAGCCGCGAGGCGGAGTTAATTAACGTGAAATATAGGTTCTATTCCAGGAGGTGTATTAAGTTATATAGCATGTAAGCCTATAACCTTTATAACAGTGTACTTAATATTTATCTAGTTAAGCTTCTTAGATAGTCTACTAAGTAATTAATGCTTGCCAAGCTTAAGCTATACCTTGTCACCGACCTGTAGTTATAGAGCAGGTATACAAGTTTTATTAGCTTGCTTTTCTTATTCTTGCTAGGCTGCGGCTATTACTGCTTAGGTAAGCTTACCCGAAACACGATGCAGTCGTCCCAACAAGTCGTTGGAAATCGAAGCCAAAGGGAGTCCCAAAGGGCTCCTCAAGGCACTCAGAGCAATCGTACGCAATCACAAAGCCCTCCGGGCAGTGGTGGTGGTGTCGCAGTAGGTCAAATCTTTCCCGCAACCCCTAACCTTAGATTGCACTCGCAACAACAACAACAACAACAACACCCACAACAACAATACAACCAAAAGCCCCTCCTCGACACGTACGGAAGCGTCGTAAGCGCACTCAACGAAGTACAACAAATACAAAGCGCCCTACGGAGTCAGCCCCTTGATGCCATTAGCATGGATTTCCTCCAGGCCATAGTCGCGTGCATCAACAACGCGTTCTTCGGACTCACGGATGCCAAGGAAGAACTCCACCGTATACAAAGAACCATGGACGAACGGAAGAACGCGCCATGGGAGGAACTGATGAAGGAGATGAAGGACACAAGGAAGAGCATTAGCGAGCTGAAAGCTCAAGGAAACAAGACATACGCAGCTGCAGCAGCGAAGACCCCGATGGCAATGCAAATCGGGCAAGCTATACGAATTGGACAGGACGCGAGAATCGGACAGGATGCAACAAACAACCTCCACGAAATCAACATCCACATCGAAAACGACGCCCAGCGAGCGGCTAACGCGACACACACGAACGACCATATCACAAAAAAGCTACAAGCGGCGGGAGAGCCGGAAACAACAAAGATTAGTGGCATCAGGAAGCTACAAAGTGGTGATATCAAGGCAATTGTCGCGGATAAGCTATCGAAAGACGCCCTCCTAAAGAAGAAGGATTGGGTTCTTGTCCTAGGCTCCTCCGCCACTATACGCACGCCTACGGTGCTCATCGAAGTACACGGCGTGCCTAAGGAGATGGACCTCGACAACCCGAGTCTACGGAAGGATATAATGGAAAACAACGCAACCCATAACCCAGGACTTACAATCGACAAGATCACATGGAAGAACAAGGCAGCTATTACCGCGGCGCGGGCAAACCCAGCACGGCGTGCAAGCTCGGCCATCGTAGGCGTACGAACAGAAGCAATGGCGAACAACGCCATCAACAACGGCATCGCTTGGAGAGGCTATGTACTCGACGCCTCAAGGTACAAGGCAGGATTTGCAGCCACGCAGTGCTTCAACTGCCAGGGCTACGGGCACGTCGCGAGGTACTGCAAAAAGAACGTCAAATGCGCAGTGTGCGCAGGCGAGCACGACACGAGAGTGTGCCCGGACAAGACCATTAAGAAATGCGCAAACTGCAACAGAAACCACCCGTTATACAGTGCCGAATGCACTGTTCGAAAGGGGGCCCAGCAAAGGGCCCTTAACAAGAAATGGACAACACCACGCCAATACGCCGCAGAGCGCAACGAACCATATATGTTCCAAGCGCAGTCACACAACAA